GAGTATGGCGGATCATGAGTTCAGAAGATTGAGACTGTCCTGCTCAACATGGTGAAACCCCCGTCTTCACTAAAATACAAAAATTAGCCCAGTGTGGTGGTGCACGTCTGTAGTCCCAGCTACTTGGGAGAATGATGCAGGAGAATCACTTGAACCCAGGAGGTGGAGGATGCAGTGAGCTGAGATTACACCACTGCACTCCAGCCTTACATAACAGGCTGATAAATAAGCACTTATAGCACAGTAGTCTATATTAAGTGCTAGATTCAGAAAATACTAGAGTCTTAGGGATGGGGCCAAGGAATGGTTCACAAAGGAAGTGAAATTGAAGTGAGCACTTGAGTTTGGGTGCTGGTAAGGGATGGGCAACTGATCGGAATATGGAAAGCCAGGGAAGCCAAGCATTTTGAAAGGAATTGAGAAGGTTGGGCAGAGAGGAATGAATTGAAAGAGATGAGAGCTAGAGATAAAAGACTAGCTTTGGGGCATCATCTTGAAGAAAATCTTAACATTTGAAAGAAATAACATAATGAGATTATCATTTTAAGAAGATCTCTAGGTATAATGGGGAGGTTCCAACTGCCAGGGGGGCTTTTATATTCACTGTGTCTAGGATAGGGCTCAAAAAGTTCCTTTTTGCTTTGGTTGTAGTGTGCATCCAGCATTTTGAGAACAGATGAATTAATGGGGTTCTTTAGTTTTGCTTATCCAAATTATCATGGTGGAGTTAGGGCCAGTGGGACATCTTTTTTTCTCATTTGGACTGGATGCTGTTACCAATACACCAGGGATTTGGTCTAGGTCCTGCTGCTTGCTGCACAGAAAGCCAATCACTGAGACATTGCCAGGGAAGAAGGCTTTAATTGGGTGCTGCAGCCAAGGAGATGGGAGATCAGTCTTAAACCCATCTCTCTGACTGACTGCTGTCACTGACTAAAATTAGAGGTCTATATAGAAGAGAAGAAATGCAACCATGTGTGGGCAAACAGGAATTAGGGAGGGTTGAGGAAGAGAAGTTGATCAACAGGCAGCATGTGGTCAGTTAAGCAATCATGATGGGTGAGGGGTCTGGATTCTCATTGTCCAGTTGCAGTGATCTGTTAAGTAAGTTTCAGCTTCTTGATACTATCTAGAGGCCTGATGGTTTGTTTCCTAAGAAAGGAACCGAGATTTTGCAAGTTTTAAGACTGGGAGGATTAATTTCTGTATTTATTCAAAGAAACCATAAAGAATCAGTTCTGCAGGATAATTGGCTGGTTTCAATGTTATCCTTCCCTCAAGGAAGTAAACAAAGCATTAAACTGGGGCCTGATTAAAGTGTGCTTTTGATTTGAGAAATTCAGGCATGGTGAGTTGTCCCAAGTCAGTAATGTATTTTACTTTTTTTTTGAAATCTTGTCTATTAGAAGATGAGAGTGGGTGGTAAATGGAAGGAGAGAAACTTTCACAAAGTAGAGAAAGAATGCTTTTTAGGCTTCATCCAGTTTTCTTATCACAAAGCCCTCACCTACCTTGTTTCATATAGAATGAGTTTTCTGTTTACTCAGTCACTTAAACCAGAAATCTGGGAGCTATCCTACACTTTCTCCCTTTTATAGTTGGTTATTTAGTCCTTTAATAAAAATAATCTTTATGCTGGGTGCAGTGGCTCACGCCTGTAATCCCAGCACTTTGGGAGGTGGAGGCAGTTGGATCACTTGAGCCCAGGTGTTAGAGACCAGCCTACCAACTTAGCAAGACCCCGACTCTGTTAAAAAAAAAAAAAAAAAGAGCTGGGTAGAGTGGTGCATACCTGTAGTCCTAGCTACTCAGGAGGCTGAGATGGGAGCATCTACTTGAGCCTGGCAGTTTGAGGCTGTGTTACTGGTGGTGGGTGTCCAGGTTCTTGGCATCTTGAACAAATAATTGGACAAAATGCACTAACAAAGCAAGGAAAGAATGAAGTCAGAGATTTATTGAAAATGAAAGTACACTACCCAGTGTGGGAGTAGCCCTAGCATAGGAGCTCAAGGGTGTCATTACAGAATTTGTGGGAGTTTAAATACCCTCTAGAGGTTTCCATTGGTTACTTGGTGTATACCCTATGTAAATGGAGAGGATGAATTAAAGTTACAAAGTCCTTTACTCTGTGTGTGCCCTACGGAGAGGATGTTTCCTGTCATAGCTGAAGTGTGAATTGGCCTTATGTTCCCTGCCTCCAGACCCTGTCACAAGAAAACAGGGTCTGGAGGCAGGGAACATAAGGCCAATTCACACTTCAGCTATGACAGGAAACATCCTCTCCGTATTCACACTTCAGCTATGAAGTGTGACAAGAAAATAGGATCTGGAGGCAGAGTACATTACTCTGTCACTATACTCCAGCCTGAGTGACAGAATGAGACCTTGCATCCAAATAATTTTAAAAATTATAACCTTTAATTCTTCCCAGATCTCTTCTAAACCCTTTCCCTCATCAACACTGGTTAAGTTTAGATGCTCACCTTTTTTATGGAGTATTATGTTGCTTCCTTGCATCCCATAGGTCTAGGGTTGTTTAGTTGCTTCCCCACCTTTAAAAAAATTTTTTTTTGAAACAGGGTCTTGCTCTGTTACCCAGGCTAGAGTACAGTCAAGCAATCATAGCTCACTGCAACCTTGAACTCCTGGGCTCCAGTGATCCTCCTGCCTCAGCCTCCCAAGTAGTTAGGACTACCGGTTTGTACCGTCTTGTCCCACTGACATAAAATTTTTTTGTGGTAGAGATGGGGCATCTCACTATGTTGCCCAGGCTGGTCTTGAATGCCTGGCCTCAAGTGATCCTCCCACATCAGCCTCCCAAAGTGCTGTTACAGGTGCAAGCTGCCATCCTTGGCTCTGCCTCCCAGGTTCAAGCGATTCTCCCGCCTCAGCCTCCTGAGGAGCTGGGACTACAGGCTCGTGCCACCACACCTGGATACTTTTTTTTTTTTTTTTTTGCATTTTTAGTAGAAATGGGGTTTTACTATATTGGCCAGGCTGGTCTCAACCTTCTGACCTCATGACCCACCCGCCTCGGCCTCCCAAAGTGCTGGGATTACAGACATGCACCACTGCGCCCGGCCCAATATGTGATCTTTTAAAAAAAATCAAATTTGGCCTGATGCAGCCGCTTATGCCTGTTGTCCCAGCACTTTGAGAGGCCAAGGGAGGTGGATCACTTGAGCTCAGGAGTGTAAAACCAGCCTGGGCAACATGCAAAATCCTATCTTTACAAAAAATACAAAAATAAGGCATGATGGTACACACCTGTAGTTGCAGCTACTCAGGAGGCTGAAGTGGGAGGGTAGCTTGAGAATGGGATGTCAGTCAAGCCTGCAGTGAGACATGTTCATGTCATTGTACTCCAGCCTGGGAGACAAAGCGAGATCTTATCTGAAAAAAAATCAAATCTGATCTTTTAAACTACATTCACGCTAGATAAATTGCCTTAAAAAAACTTTAATATTCTTTTACGTTTTTCTGCCTTTGTTTTTGCTGCATAATACTTTTTCCTTTTTTACTGAGATTCTTTCCATTGTCTTAAGATCTTTTGATTTGTTTTTTTAAATGAGGAATCAGGAATTTTTTTTTTTTTTTTTTTTTTTTTAATGTTGGACAGGCTGATCTTGAAGTCCTTGACTTAAGCAGTCCTCCCACCTTGGCCTCTCAGTGTTGGGGTTACAGACGCTGCACTCAGCCTTTGCTCAGTGTGGAGTGCAGTGGCTATTCACAGGCATGATCATTATGGCTCATAACAGCCTTGAACTCCTGGCCTTCCTGAGTATCCCAAGTAGCTGGGATTAATAGGCATTCTTCACTGCTTCTGGCTCCAGAAATATTCATTTTAATGTACTATCTCAATTTTTAAATTTTGGGAACTGTTAATTTAATTTAAAAAATGCTATCAAATTTGCAGCCTCATTTATAGAGGCTTTTGTGATCATTATTCTTTCCCCCTGCAAATTTAATTGTTCTTTCTTTATGTATTTCCATGGTTAATACCCTACAGGGGTTTTAAACTAGCTTTTTAGATAATCTGTACTGGACAGAAAAGTTTTCTGTAAGTTTTCCTTTAAATTTATAGAGTTATAAACTGCCTGGGACTTAATCAATTGAAATTAGAAATCAGTTAGATAACCTTAGGTAAGCACTAGTTCCATATTGTCTGTGGTAGAGTTCTATTAGAACTTGGATCTAACGTGTTCACAGTATATGTCCAGTAATAGAAGTATAAGATACACGTAGAATAAATCAGAAGGAATATTATTTGCTTTAAAAAGCTGGGTTTTGAAGTTTAAAGGGGTTTCAGATAGAAAAAGAAAAAACCAGGTAGAGTGACCCTCGTATGCTTGTTTAGGGCTTGAGTCTAGGTTGTTGCCAGTGACCAGGTGTTTGTAACCAACCTCTGGCCTTCCCTCGCCCCACTTTAATCCAACTGAAGTATTGCTCACACAGTTATTTTCATAAAAACAGTTTGATCGTGTTTCTTCTCTGTTTGAAAAATGTCAATTGCTTCATGTTGCCAACATACAGACTTCATTTTGCTTGGCATCGAAGCTCTTCAGTTTCCCTCTGCCTCTTAGTTTCTGCAGCCATGTTTTCTCACCTTACTGTTCTTTGAAAATAGAGTCCTTCACTATTGCTGCCTGCTCCCCATTCACCATTCTCCTCACATGGTCAAATTAGATTCTCCTTTTCCTTCAGCTCTGTCTGGCCAAATGCTGTGTTTTCTTTCCGACCTAACTTTCTTTTTCATTCCAACAATATGACCGTCTAGACTGTTCTAGTCCAGGAGGATCTCCTTGTCTTAGAAGTTTGCTTATATCTGTTCATACAGGTATGCAGTCCTGTCATGTTCTGTGTGGTAAATCTATGGGTGGCCTGTCTCTGTTTCACCTGGAAGACAATAAACCACTTTTCAAACTTAGTGTCACATACAGTGTTTTGTCTAGAATTTTAAAAAATGTGTCCCACAAGTCAATATGTTTTTGTATTTGTAGACCTGAAAAATGTCTGAAAATTCCAGTGACAGTGATTCATCTTGTGGTTGGACAGTCATCAATCATGAGGTATGATATTTAATAGTTTTTATAAGGTAATTTGTAAAATTAATATTACCAGTGGTATAAACTGTGTTCTTTGAAGACCAGTCTTTTTCTACATTTAAGCAAAAAGTTCCAGTGGACATTTTCCCACTTAGGTTAAACTTCACTGCTGAGAACTCTTCATGAGCCAGCATCTTCTACATCATTGTACATAGCTTTGAGATGTTAGGGAAGTATTTATTGAGGGTTTATTGTTGATCAGACTTGTGCTTTACTTTCTTTCTTTTTTTGTTTTTGAGACGGTGTCTCTCTATGTTGCCCAGGCTGGAGTGCAGTGGCACGATCTCAGCTCACTGCAACCTCTGCCTCCCAAATTCAAGTGCTTCTCCTGCCTTAGCCTCCCTAGTAGCTGGGACTACATACAGGCATGTGCCACCACACCTGGCTAATTTTTTGTATTTTTAGAAGAGACAGGGTTTCACTGTGTTAGCCTGATGGTCTCGATCTTCTGACCTTGTGATCCACACACCTCGGCCTCCCAAAGTCCTGGGATTACAGGTGTAAGCTACTGCACCTGGCCTTAACTTTCATTTTCATATAATTTTGTCTTTTTTTTTTCATTTGGAGACAGTCTCACTCTGTTGCCCAGGCTGGAGTGTAGTGGTGCGATCTCGGCTCACTACAACCTCTGCCCCCTGGGTTCAAGCTGCCTCAGTCTCCCCAAGTAGCTGAAATTACAGGTACCCACCACCACACCCAACTAATTTTTTGTATTTTTAGTAGAGATGGGGTTTCACCATGTTGGTCAGTCTAGTCTTGAACTCCTTGACCTGAAATGATCTGCCCGCCTCAGCCTCCCAAAGTGCTAAGATTACAGGCGTGAGCCACTGTGCACAGCCAATTTTGTCTTTTTTTTTTTTTTTTTTTTTTTAAAAAGGAACAGGGTATTGCTGTATTGCCCAGGCTGGAGTGCAGTAGCTGTTCACATGTGCAGTCATGGTGCAGTATAATCTTTAACTCCTTGGGCTCAAGCAGTCAGCCTCAGCCTCCCAAGTAGCTGGGACTATAGGCACATGCCACCACACCCTGTTCTTACATAATTTTAAACGTTTTACTGTGGCATAGATTGTTTTCATTCTCATTTTATAGTTGAGAAAGTTAAAGCTTAGAGAGGTTAAGTAATTTGGCCAAGATTATACAGCTAGAAAATAGATCTTGGATTTGAAGAGATCAGAAAGGAGAATGGAGAGCATGTGTTCCACTTACATTAGCAGAACTTGACATGAAAAAGGCCAGAACTCTATCACAAAATGAATTTTATAATAAAAGATTGACATATGTATAACAAGTGTACCTAACTTGTGCATTTTGTTTATTTTCTCACATCAGTAATATATGTTCACTATAGAAAAATGACAGTATATTGATAAACAGAAATATACTTATTCTAGGTTTTAATGGACTTATCTATAGTTTTCCCATTTGTTTCTAGGATATTGTAAACATCACTTGATTTTTTTTTCTTTTTTTCTTATTTCAGTGATTATCCCATGAACCTCACTTGTTTTCTTAATAAAAATTTAAATTTTTAACACAGGAAAAAATGCCAGATATAGGTGACAGGGGGATGGAGGCAGCAAACCACCTTGCCATGTATGTACCTATGCAAAAATCCTGCATGATCTGCACATGTACCCCAGAACCTAAAGTACATTAAGAAAAAAAATTTTTTTTTTTTAACCATTACTTTGATTAGTTAAGGTTCAGGTAGTTATGTTGTTTAGAAAACTTTAACAGAAAAAAAGAAGATAGCCTTTTCTGCATTAACGTTTCAAAATTTAAAAGCAACCATATCATTTGGGATTGAGATGATTCTTCTTTTTAAAATCTTCACTGACTTTTCTATTTTTAACTTGTTTTCTTTAAAGATTAGATCAACTCCCATAGCAACTTCTCCTTCAAGGATAATTAACAATATAGGAGCAAGGCAGCTATGGGAGTCTTACCTGTGAGTTTGCAGGGTAGAATATGACATCAGACCTCTCAGGCACTTAGTCAAGCATGTCATTAGGGTGTTCTATATTAGACATTATGTCCCAGAGTAAATCATATTTGTACTTTTCTCTCTCTTCTTCTATATCTGCTGTGTAGGTTCTTCTCTTTCTTGCTGTTGTCTCTTATATGTGTCTCCTTTTCCTTTCCCATTACCACCATTCTGATTTGGGCCAGAATTAGCTTTCCCAGCAATTCCTAATCCAACTCTAACCTTGCTTTAGCTTCTGCCATTTTACTGCCACTATAGACAGCCTCAGAGTCTTACATTCAGAATTCTCTTTAGGGCTCACCTTAAATGATACTTTTTTCATGAGTTGTTTAATTTTTGGCTGTTTTGAGTTATGTATGTCAAGAGAATGCAGACCTTTCAATTCTATGTGTCAGCAGACTATAGTGGGGACATAGGGAGAGACAGAATCACCTTAGTGGTTAACTTTGTTTTGCTAATTATGACATAAAGAAAAATTGTTTGATCCACTGTTATTAATGAAAAGATAGTCTGACATCAAAGTAGAAAAGATAATCTCAGAATAAAAAGGTAGTCTAAAATTGTCTAAGGAGTGTATTCATTAACCTAATAGGTTTATTTAATCCGTGCCATTAAAGCTTTAAACATTTTAGTTTATATTGCCATAATACGTCGTTGTTTGCACATGGCTATTCTCTGAATATGTTGTAAATTTGAATTTTAGATTTGAATTTTTTTTTTTTGAGACAAAGTTTTGCTCTTGTCACCCAGGCTAGAGTGCAGTGGTATAATCTTACTGCAAACTCCACCTCCCAAGTTCAAGTGATTCTCTGGCCTCAGCTTCCTGAGTAGCTGGGATTACAGGTGCCAGCCACCACGCCCAGCTATGGATTTGAATTTTTTATACTCCACAACACCTAGTAAAGTGCCTTGTCTAGAGTAGTTCCGTAAATGTTAAGTAGAAGCAAGAAGTAACTATATTTAGACCCTTATTCTCTGGTATTCAAATTTATTGCTTGAGCTCATAAAATAGAGCATTTCACTTTTGGGCTGACTTGACTTAGGATTTAAATGGAGACTCCATTCTGCAATTTTACTGCTATTGTCCCTTGTGGACTAAAGTTTATCAGACTGTTCCTTTGGAGTATAGTAGCATCTGAGACTTGTCTTCTTTTTTTATTCTTTTTTTTGAGTCGGAGTCTTACTCTGTTGCCCAAGCTGGAGTGCAGTGGCGTGGTCTTAGCTCACTGTAACCTCTGCCTCCTGAGTTCAAGCAATTCTCCTGCCTCAGCTTCCCGAGTAGCTGGGATTACAGGCACCCGCCACCACTTCCAGCTAGTTTCTTTATTTTTAGTAAAGACAGGTTTCATCGTGTTGGCTAGTCTGATCTCGAACTCCTGACCTCATGATCCACCTGCCTCAGCCTCCAAAAGTGCTGGGATTATTGGTGTGAGCCAGTGCACCTGGCTGCATCTGAGACTTTTAATAATGGAAGAAGCATTTACATGTAGTCAAAACTAGCTTTGAGTAGCTAACAGGCAAATAACTGAAAAATTGTCACTTTCCCTAGGGGTCCGATATAGAAATGGTGAATTCTGTGACAGCCACTGACAGCTGTGAGCCCACCCCAGAATGTTTATCTTTAGAGCAAGAGGAGCAGATAGAGCAGGGAGGTAAGTATTTCACAAATTCTGATTTTTTTAAAAAAATAGGATATATGACTGATACTATGAATCTTGCCTTCTTTCCAGGTGAGTGGCCTTTTTGGCTACTCTTTTATTGATTGATTCATTGAGACAGACTTTTGATCTTGTTGACCAGGCTAGAGTGCAGTGGCATAATCTTGGCTCACCACACCCTCCGCCTCCCGGTTCAAGTGATGCTCCTGCCTCAGCCTCCTGATTAGCTGGGATTACAGGCATGTGCCACCATGCCCAGCTAATTTTGTCTTTTTAGTAGAGACAGGGTTTCTCCATGTTGGTCAGGCTGGTGTTGAACTTCCAACCTAGGGTGATCCACCCACCTTGGCTTCCCAAAGAGTTGGGATTGCAGGTGCAAGCCACTGTGCCTGGCCTCTTTCTGGCTTATCTAAGTGGTCATTGAAGGATTAAATTTCAGTGTAGGCTGGGTACAGTGGCTCATGCCTGTAGTCCAGCACTTTGGGAGGCCAAAGTGGGCAGATCTTTTGAGGTCAGGAGTTCAGGACTAGCCTGGCCAACATGGTGAAACCCATCTCTACTAAAAATACAAAAAATTAGCTGGGCGTGGTGGCAGGTACCTGTAATCCCAGCTACTCCAGGAGCCTGAGGCAGGAGAATTGATTGAACCTGGGAGGTGGGTTGCAGTGAGTCAAGATCGTGCCACTGCCCTCCAGCCTGGGTGACAAAGCAAGACTCCATCTCAAAAAAAAAACCAAAAAACAAAAAACAACAGTGTGGAATTAGTGAAGGCCCACAGAACCCAGAGTCACCAGCCTACCTTAGGGTTTTGTTTATTTGCAATTGTAATATATTTTTGGGCTTTCAGATACACTTTGTTGCTACAGATGTACCAGTGACAAAATAAATGTTTTATGATTTAATGTGAATTTGTTTAATAGTTTCTATTAACTTGTCATTTGTTTGGTAGTGTGTATTTACTTGTCATTATTAAAGTTAAGAAAAAAATAACTCATTTATCATAAGGGGAGCATCACACACTGGGGTCTGTTGGGGGGAAATAGGAGAGGGACAGTGGGGGGTGGGGAGCTGGGGAGAGAGAGCATGGGGAGAAATGCCAGATATAGGTGAAGGGGAGGAAGGCAGCAAATCACGCTGCCATGTGTGTACCTATGCAACAACCTTGCATGTTCTTCACATGTACCCCAAAACCCAAACTGCAATAAATTAAAAAAAAAAGAAAAAAATAACTCATTTATCACAAGAGATTTACTAATCTCTTCTCCAGTTATTATCATGTTACAGAGTTGCAGACATACCTCTCTATCATTTTATTCTGCTTTGCTTTATTGTACTTCATAGATACTGCATTTTTTACAAATTGAAAGTTTGTGGCAACCCTGCATTTAGCAAGTCTATTAATGCCATTTTTCCAACAGCGTGTGCTCATTTCATGTCTCTATCACATTTTCATAATTGTAATATTTCATTTATTTTTATTTGTTTTTTAAATTTTTATTACTTTTTTTTTTTTTTTTAATAGAGATGGGGTTTTACCATTTTGGTCGGGCTGGTCTTGAACTCTTCACCTCAGATGATCTACCCACCTGGACCTCCCAAAGTGCTGAATTTACAGGCGTGAGCCACCACACCTGACCTATTTTATTGTATTTTATCGAATTGATGGAGTTTTGCTCTTGTTGCTCAGGCTGGAGTGCAGTGGCATGATCTTGGCTCACTGCAACCTCTACCTCCCAGGTTCAGGCGATTCTCCTGCCTCAGCATCCCAAGTAACTGGCATTATAGGAATGCATAATGCACCCAGCTAATATTGTATTTTTAGTAGAGACGAGGTTTCACCAGATTGGTCAGGCTGGTCTTAAACTCCTGACCTCAGGTGATCCACCCGCGTTGGCCTCCCAAAGTGCTGGAATTATAGGTGAACTACTATGCCTGTCTGTAATTGTCATATTTCAAACATTTTCATTATTATTATATCTGTTATCATGATTATCATGATCTGCGATCAGTGATTTTTGATGTTACTATTGTAATTCCATTGACACCATGAACCATGCCTGTGAAAGACAGTGAACTTAATAAATGTGTGTGTTCTGACTGCTCTACTCCCTCTCCCTCTTTTTTTTTTTGAGATGGAGTTTCGCTCTTGTTACCCAGGCTGGAGCGCAATGGCACGATTTTGGCTCACCGCAACCTCCGCCTCCTGGGTTCAGGCAATTCTACCTCAGCCTCCTGAGTAGCTGGGATTACAGGCATGCACCACCATGCCCAGCTAATTTTTTGTATTTTTTTTAAGTAGAGATGGGGTTCACCATGTTGACCAGGATGGTCTCCATCTCTTGACCTCATGATCCACCTGCCTTGGCCTCCCAAAGTGCTGGGATTATAGGTGTGAGCCACTGCACCCGGCTTCCCTCTCCCTCTTATTGGGCCTCCCTATTCCTGGAGACACGACAATATTGAAATCAGGCCAATTAATAACCCTACAGTGACCTCTAAGTGTTCAGGTGAAAGGAAGAGTTGCATCTCTCACTTCAAATAAGAAGCTACAAATGATGTGAAGCTTATTTGAGGAAGACCTGTCAAAAGCTAAGTTGAAAGCTATGTATCTTGGGCCAGATAGTTAGCCAAGTTGTGATTGCAAAGGAAAAGTTCTGTAAGAAATTAAAAGGCCTTCTTAGTGAACACATGAACCATAAGGAAGCCATATAGTCTTAATGGCTGACTCTTATGTTGACATGGAGAAAGTTTAATGGTCTTAGTAAAAGATCGAACTAGCCATAAAATTCCCTTAAGCCACAGCCTAATCCAGAACAAAGTCCTTCCTAACTCTTCAGGTCTATGAAGGCTGAGAGTAGTTAAGAAACCGTAGAAAAAAAGGCTGAAGCTAGCTAAGGTTGGTTCATGAGGTTTAAGGAAAGAAGCTATGTCCATAACATAAAAGCACAAGGTGAAGCAGCAAGTGCTAATGGAGAAGGTGCACCAAGTTATCCAGGATATCTACCTGAGATCATGGATGAAGATGGCTACACTAAACAGCAGATTTTCAGTGTAGGTGAAACAGCCTTCTCTTGGAAGAAGATGCCATCTAAGACTTTCCTAGCTAGAGAGAAGTCAATATCAAAGAACAAGCTCGCTTTCTTGTTAGAGGCAAATGTAGCTGGTGACTTTAAGTTGAAGCCAGTGTTCACTTACCCTGCCTTACGAAATCCTAGAGCCCTTAAAAAACATGTTTCATCAACTCTGCCTGTGCTCTATAAATGGAACAACAAAGCCTAGGTGACAGCCATGTGTTTACAATATGGTTTACTGAATATTTTAAACTCATTGTTGAGACCTGCTGTTCAGAATAAAAGTATTTCAAAATACTACCAGGTACACCTGGTCCTGTCCAAAAGCCACGGACAGTTTCTTCCAAGAAATGCATTTATTTGCATATGTTGAAGAACAATTTCACCCATGGGCTCTGATGGAGATTTACAAGGAGATTCATCTTGCTTTGTTTCCTGCTAACACAACATCCAGTCTGTAGCCCATGGATCAAAGAATAATGTTTACTTTCAGGTTGTATTATTTAATAAGTAAATTTTGTAAGGCTGTATCTGCTATAGATAGTGATTGCTCTGATGGATCTGGGCAATGTGTGCAAGTTGAAAATCTTCAGGAAAGGATTCACCATTCTAGATGCCATTAAGAACAATTGTGATTTGTGGGAAAAGATCAAAATACCAGCATTAACAGGAGTTGGGAAGAAGTTGATTTCAACCCTCATAACTTTGAGTGGTTTAAGACTTTAAATGGAGGAAGGAAATGCAGATGTTGTAGAAACAGCAAGAGAATTGGAATTAGAAGTGGAGCCTGAAAATGTGGTCCAATTACTGTAATCTCATGATAAGAACAGATGAGGAGTTGCTTCTTACGGATGAGCAGAGAAAGTAGTTTCTTGAGATGCAGTCTACTCTTGGTAAACATGCTATGAATATTGTTGAAATGACAACAAAGGATTTAGAATATTACATAAAACTTAGCTGATAAAGCAGTGGCGGGGTTTGAGAAGATTGGTTTTGAAAGTTGTTCTGTGTGGGCAAAGTGCTATCAAACAGCACTGCATGCTACAGAGAAATCTTTCATGAAAGGAAGAGTCAATCCATTTGGGAAATCTGAGTGTTGTCTTACTTTAAGAAATTGCCCCAGCTACTCCAGCCTTTAGCAGCGATCACAGTGGTCAGTCAGCAGCCATCACCTTTGACAAAAATGCTCTAATTCACTGAAGGCTCAGATGATTGCTAGCACTTTTTAACAATAATGTATTTTTAAATTAATATATGTATGGTTTTTTAGACATAATGTTGTTACACATTTAATAGATTATAGTATAGTATAAACATAACTTTTACATGCACAAGGAGACCAAAAAATTTGTGTGATTTGCTTTATTGCATTGGTTTGGAATGGAACTTGCAGTATCTCTCAGATATGCGTGTATTCTCGTTCCAGTTTGGTAAAATGGAATTTGACTACTGTATTGCATCTGTGTTATGTATACTTCCCATGGGATTTAATTTCATTAACTTTTTAAAAAAGATTGCAGTAAAATGCATACAGAACATTTAACCCTCAGGAGAATAAAGTGGATGTGTCAGGGCAAGAAATAGAAGAGATTGTACCTGTTAACTTTTTTAAGCCTACGTATTGAATACTACTCTCATTTGAAGAGTGATTTTCTTAAAAAAAAAAAAAAGAAAGAAAGAAAGAAAAAAAATTCAAGGAAGAGATGTTAAAAAAAGGTGATTCTCATCTTTTTTGTGTCAGAAATCCTTTTGAGAATCTGAAAGCCATGGACAATTTTTTCCAAGAAATGCATTTATTTGCATAAGTTGAAGAACAATTTCTATACTTCTTTGGGAGTCCTTGGACACGAGCCCAGTGCTGTGGAGCAATCTTATCTCTAAATTAAACTACTTTTCTATTAGGGGCTATTTAACATGAAAAAATGTTTTTTTTCCGCTTGTTCTTTGCTGGAGTTAAATTATATAAGAAATACATGTTCATGATAGGGAAAAAAATAATAGTAAACAAAATGAATTTAAAATGGCCTTTAATTTTTTTTTATCTAGAAACACTTCTGTTGATATTTGGTATACTTTGCTTATGAATTTATATTTAATTTTTTAAACTTAATAGTTTATGCTCTTTTTCATTAAAAATATATTGTGAATTTATCATTTTGTTTGTACGCATTTTCTTTGAGAAGATTCTTATATCTCCCATAGTGACATTTAGTTTTTCTGTGTTTTGAGTTCTTTCTTTTTAAAAAAAATTATTGGCAGAAATGGTCTCACTATGTTGCCCAGGCTGGTCATGAACTCCTGGCCTTAAGTGAATTTACCACAATGGCCTACCAAAGTGCTGGAATTACAAGCATGAGCCACTGTGCCTGGACTTCCTCTCCCTAACTTTTTTTTTGAGACATTGTCACACTCCCTTGCCCAGGCTGGAGTGCAGTGGCATGATCATGGCTCACTGCAGCCTCAACTCCTAGTAATCCTCCTGCCTCAGCCTTCTGAGTAGCTGAGACTCTAGGCACATACTACCATGTCCAAATAATTTTTTAATTTTTATTTTTGTAGAGACAGGGTCTTGCTATATTGCCCAGGCTGGTCTTGAACTTGTAGACTCAAGCAATTCTCCAGCATTGGCCTCCCAAAAGTGCTAGGGTTACAGGTGTGAGTCACTGCATCCAGGCTGAGTCCTTGTTTTTTATAGTTTATGTTTTCTTGTAAAGCACTTACACACACAAACACACACATACATGTACATATATACTTTTATAAATCATAGTTTGAAGCCATAGTTTTTATTCTTATGGTACCAGGCATTGACAGCCATTAAAATGGTCTTTAGGAACTTTGAATGAACTTCTAAGAATTCAGGAAAATGAGGCCAGGCACGGTGGCTAATGCCTGTAATCCCAGCACTTTGGGAGGCAGAGGCAGGAGGATCACTTGAGGTCAGGAGTTCAAGACCAGCTTGGCCAACATGGCAAAACCCTGTCTTTACAAAGTACAAAAAAAAAATTAGCCCGATGTGGTGGTGGGCACCTGTAATCCCAGATGGTTGGGAGGCTGAGGTGGGAGAATTGCTTGAACTCAGGAGCAGAGGTTGCAGTGAGCTGAGATCACGCCTCTGTACTCCTGGGTGTACAGAGTGAGCCTGGGTGATGGAGTGAGACTCCCTCTGACTTAAAAAAAAAAAAAAAAAAAAGAACTCAGGAAATGTATCACTAGGTATCTAATGATAGATTTTTCATATTATCGGGTATTAACAAACACACTGAATCAAGCAATTTGGTAATGTAAGGTAGAGGTTTTATTTACCTAGTCAAGGTAGCTTTGATTTGAGTTTTTTTTTTTTTTTTTGAGACGGAGATTCGCTCTTGCTACACAGGCTGGAGTGCAATGGCGCGATCTTGGCTCACCACACCTCCGCCTCCTGGGTTCAGGCAATTCTGCCTCAGCCTCCTGAGTAGCTCGGATTACAGGCACGTTCTTAATAAAGCTTGTGGCTAGGCACGGTGGCTCATGCCTGTAATCCCATCACTTTGGGGGGCCAAGGTGGGCGGATCATTTGAGGTGAGGAGTTCGAGACCAGATTGGGCAACATGGCGAAACCCCATCTCTACTAAAAATAAAAACAATTAGCTGTAGCGTATGCCTGTAATCCCAGTTACTCAGAAGCTAGAGGCAAGAGATTTGCTTGAATCCAGGAGGCAGAGGTTGCAGTGAGCCAAGATAGTACCACTGCACTCCAACCTGGATTGCAGAGCAAGACTCCATCTCCAAAAAAAAAAAAAAAAATCCTTAAATGCTTTCATTTTCATATCTAAAATTATCCCCTGACAATTTCAAATAAATGAAATTTATTAGAACAGTGGAGTGACTTCTATAATTGTATATGACATTTCATTAAATCTACTTTAACATATTAGGAATAGATTTTTATCTACCCAGATTATATGTTGGCTGCAGAAAGTATAAATGAAGAAATAATTATATTGATTTTTGCTTTATATCAGAAAGCAGCCAAAATGGCACAGTGTTTATGGAAGAAACTACTTATCCAGCTTTGGAGGAAACGAGCTCAACAGCTGAGGTAAACGTGTATTTTACTCTGTAGATATATGTCAAATAGTATCCTTAGAATACTAAATAAAGCCTCTAATTCTATTTATGCATTCTATTCCTGTTTTGAATTGTAAGCAGTTTTAACATCTGATTAAGTTAGATGTTTTAGAAGACATCTAAGTAAAGTAATTTCTTGGTATTGTGTTAAAGATCTGTCTTTTCACCTCTAATATAATTTTCTTCGGAAGTAGATTGCATTCTTGAATTGTATTGAAAAATTAACCTTAGGTTTCACGTCTAAAATGGTGGTTTGTTTTAAAATTACATAACAACCTAAGACTTGTCCTTTGGGCTTTTACTTGACTTCTGTATAAAACTAGATAGCTAGATGATCTTTTTACATGGTGTCTTAGTGTATTTGTACTGCTATGACAACATTCCTGAGACTGGGTGATTTACAAAGAACAGGGCTGAGTGTGGGGGCTCATGCCTGTAATCCCAGCACTTTGGGAGGCCGAGGCAGGTGGACCACGAGGTCGGGAGTTTGAGACCAGCCTGACCAACATGGTGAAACCCTGTCTCTAAAAAATAAAAATAAAAAAATTAGCTGGGCAGAGTGGTGTGCACCTGTAGTCCCAGCTGTTCAGGAGGCTGAGGCAGGAGAATTGCTTGAACCCAGGAAGTAGAGGTTGCAGTGAGCCGAGATTGCACCACGGCACTCCAGCCTGGGTGACAGAGTAAGACTCCATCTCAAAAAAAAAAAAAACAAAACAAAACAGAAATTATTTCTCTCATAGAGGCTGGGAAGTAAGTCTAAGAACAAAGTGGGAACCAGTTCAGTGTCTGCTGATGGCATGGTTTCTTGTTTCCAAATGGCATCTTGCTGCTACATCCTTAAGAGGGGATGAGTGAAAAAGGCCGGATGCTGCATGAAGCCTGTTTTATGAAGGCCTTAGTCGTATTTCCAGGGGAGGATCCCTTATGACTCAGTCACCTCCTAAAGGTGTACGTACTATCACATTGGCAATTACATTCCAACATAAGAACTTTTGGGGACACCTTCAGACACATTCAGTACAAGTTACACTGTTGAAGTTATTACATACATAACCAGAAAAGTTTAGTGAGTCTATTTTGGGCTCCCACACTACAGAGTTGTGTTTGAATAGACCCATGGAACTCGTGAGAGAAATAAACTCTTCTTTCTGTGGTTATTGAGGAGCAAAGGTGGGTTTAGCTTCTGCAGCCCAGAAGGCAGTAGTCTGGTCTAATTCTGAGAGTCATCAAGGGATCTGATGGTGTTTTCAAGCTCTATGATGAGCCTACTATTGCATAATTCTTTAAATGGTAGGAATAATATATTTTAACCTCAAATTACCGTAATACTTAGTACTGTTGTATTCTAAGAAAATATAAGGCCCTTAAATAACTGTTGAATTTACTGTCTCTAAAATCATGATTCTTTAGGCAGAGGAAGAAAAGACAACTGAAGACAGTATCTACATTGGGACTGCCAGTGATGATTCTGATATTGTTACCCTTGAGCCACCAAAGTTAGAAGAAATTGGAAGTCAAGAAGTTATCACTGTTGAAGAAGCACAGAGTTCAGAAGACTTTAACATGGGCTCTTCCTCTAGCAGTCAGTATGCATTCTGTCAGCCAGAAACTGGTAAGAATGACCCGATAAGAGACTTAAATACATGTACGACCACATTTTATATAAGGGCTTGTTTTCTACCCCTAATAATTTAGTCTCTGGTTTTGAATATGTTTAGGTAAAATGCAAGACAAGACTATTTTTTTGTGTGTGAAGTCTATTAATACCTAGTGTTGTCCTAGACTGTTCTGCAGCATAGCAATCTTTTGCTTTAACAGTAACCACCTTTTGCCATTGAATAGAAGACAAAATTTCTTCAATGAGATTCATTAAAATCACAAATGCTCCACAATTCATTTGGTGCTTTTTAGATCTTTAACAGTGGGAGATTGGGGATACCAATATTTTTGCTTGCAGTGGTATATAATTTATATTATAGAAATAGTAAAAGAAAATTTTTATTAAAGTCTTTTCAGATACATTCAGTTATTCATTGTGCAACAGTCGTTTATTGAGTACCTACCATATGCCAACAAGAGTTCAAGGTGCTGTCCAAACAGCTAGTCTCCCAAAGCTGCTGACCTTCAGAGCTTTTGTTTTAGATTCTGTTATGAAAATGTCACTATTGTAAGTCACATTTTAATGCAATCAATGCCCATTGACAGAATCATTCAGAGATTAAAGTGAGAGTTGCTTATTTTCTTTCTACTATGCTTCAGTTCAGTTTTAGCGGTGTGTATTACTTCTTTCAATGTGATAAAATATGTAGATACAAAGTTCCTGGCAAATTCTATGAGACACAAACCTGTAATTCACTGTTATTAACCCACAATTATAACTAATAATTATTAATAGTTATGGCAGAGACAACTTGGAACACTGCTAGTGATTCTAAAAATTTATTTTAATGATTCTGACAGAAAAACAGGAAACATGTAGTATCTATTTTAGATAATTTTCTTTGATTTTACTATTATTTAATATTTATGTTTCCCAACCAGAATCAGACAATAGAATTTTTGTCATTCCAGTTTAATCTAATAAAATGTCAAGTAGAGATTCTTGGCTGGGCATGGTGGGTCACGCCAGTAATTCTAGCACTTCGTGAGGCTGAGGCCTGTGGATTACCTAAATCCACGAGTTCAAGACCAGTCTGGGCAGCATATAGCAAGACCTCATCTCTACAAATAATAAAAAAGCCAGGTGTGATGGTGTGCGCCTGTGGTCCCAGCCACTTAGGAGGCTGAGGTGGGAGGAGGTTGAGGCTAGAGTGAAGCTGAGATTGTGCCACTGCACTCTAGCCTGGGTGACAGAGCAGGACCCTGTCTCAAAAATATAAAAAAATTAGAGGTTCTTGGCTGTCTCATTTAATGAGAAGTTATTTTCAGTTAGTATATCAGTAGTTTGCCTATAAACATGAACTTGAAAACACTTTGTCCAGCTATTTAAATATTCATCTGATATTCTTGGTGGTCAGAGGAAAACTTCAGCCTTTGTTAGAGTAGTATTCATAGTATAATTATTTATGGGAGGGGTATTATAACTGATTTTAGAATCCTTGTTGCTTGTCAAAGTTTATTATTTTTTTTAACTCTAGGATTTGTATTGGATTCAGGTAGTCTTTCTTTTTTTTCTCCCTTTCCTACCTCTGGTTTAATTTGAGAATATTAATGGTCCAGAAAAGTCAAATTGAAGCCGGAGTGTGTAAGAAACTGAAATAGACATAAATGAAATTACATGTTGTTGCCAGGCTTGTTGGCTCACACCTATAATCCCAGCACCATCTCAAAAAAAGAAATAAAGAAATTACATGTTGTTAACTTTTTTTCAGGAAGTTGCATACTTCTAAGCCCATTCCTCTAATATTTATCTCCTTTCTAAATTCTGACTTCTTGGGAATTTTGTAGACTGAGTTAAGAGGAATATTTGATTAAGTTTATTTTTACTCATTGTTATTCCTCCTAAAGATACTGTTTCAGGCTGGGCGTGGTGGCTCATGCCTGTAATCCTGGCACTTTGGGAGGCCGAGGTGGGCGGGTCACAAGGTCAGGAGTTCAAGACCAGCTTGACCAACATGGTGAAACCCCGTCTCTAAAAAAATACTGAAATTTTGTGCTATACCGAAAACACTACATAAACCAGTTGCCAAGAGTTTTTGTTTTTGGGCCAGGCACATTGGCTGATGCCTATAATCCCAGCACTTTGGGAGGCCAAGGTGGGTAGATAACCTGTGATCAGGAGTTGGAGACCAGCCTGACCAACATGGCAAAACCCATCTCTACTAAAAATAAAAAATTAGCCAGGTGCCTGTAATCCCAACTACTTGGTATTAGCTGGCTGTAGTCGTGTGGGCCTGTAATTCCAGCTGCTCTGGAGGCTGAGGCAGGAGAAACTCTTGAACCAAAGAGGCAGAGGTTGCAGTGAGCCAAGATTGCGTCACTGTACTCCAGCCTAGGTGACAGAGTGAGACTCCGTCTCTTAAAAAAAGTTTTTGTTTTTCCCTTTAGATTTGTTAATTTTGTGCTAGCCATTGCTTAGTTATTTGTTTTTTCCTTTCCCTTTCTTCTTCATCCTTAAGGATTTCAACTTAAATTTTTTCTTTTACTAACTTATATTCTTGTGGCAGTGTACATTTTGTTGGTTTAAGAACATTACCCACTTCCTCTATGTGAACTCTCTTCCCTGACAAAAAGCAAAGTTGGTAGTGTAGAGAAGTTTGTATTGTGTATGTTTTTAAGAAGGCACGGTTATTACATTTTAATTTAGTACAGATAACAATGTTAAGTGAAAATTATTTTTAATTCTTTTTTTCCTTTTTAGTCTTTATAATAAAGCTTTATACATCTTTTTTTCCTGTTTATTCACAAAAGAAAGATGGTGGGAGAAGCTGTGGAAGATTCCTGAATGCATATGGGGATGGGATGATCAACTGAAACACCATGTTCCCAGCCAGCTCGCTTTCCAAGGTCATGTGACTAAATTGGACGAGCTTCTCTAGAGCTGAGTGTGCCTAGTCACATTTACTATTTACTGAGTGCTTTAAGATACCTGTTGTCATCTGCAATACTCTAAATGGGTTCAGAATCTCTGGCAAAGGAGCTGGCCAAGCTTATTGCATGCCTTTGCATTGCTTGCATCTGTGGGCCAAATTAAGCTTTTTTAAAAGAAATTAAAAATCAGAATAGTTATTATATGTATGGGTCAAAAAGATGGAAGCATTAGATAAGGATGTGAATATATTAATATGGGTTAGGCTGCTTTGTTAGAATATATAAGGAAGGCAGTATGCTAATGTAGAATTGAACATTTATTTAAAGAAGTTTTACAAATTATTTGTTTTCATATTTACCTATGTTACTTTTATGTCAGAAAGCCTGACTTAAATACTCTAATCACGATCATGAATGCCTTTGTATTATGTAATGAATGCTTTAAGTCTTCCTTTCTTTCTCTTTGTCCAAGAAATGTAACCTCACACCTGAGGCGACGGCGTCTTTGAAACACTAGTGAACAAGAATAACCAGATAAACATGATGGGCATAAGGGTCATGACCAAAAAGATCTCTCAGTGGCATCTGTATCCCTAAATATTAGGAATATTCATTAATTTTCAGTAGTGCCTTCTGTCTTTGTGTTTATTGTTGTAAGTGTGAAAGTAAACCGTTATGATCCATCTCTGAAAAATACTGCCTAACCTAAATCACCAGCTTTCCTGTGGCATGGATATCCTGTCTTCTGAAGAACTGTTTTTGCTTTTCTGGAGCATGAATATTTGTTGTTTTAGAGCTCTTTATATTCAAGTTCATATTTTATCTTTACTTTTAGTGTTTTTCCTGTAAGTGGCTCATGGAAATTATTTCTGAGTTATAAAAGCTTCTTTGTCAACATATAGTTTGTTGATATATGGAATAGTGTTAAGAAATTATGTACTTGGAAAAAACTGAAGGTGATTTTTCCAGGGAATATGTTTCCTGGACTTGTAATTTCTTGTTCAAAGTTTCTCCACCAATTTATTTTTTCTCTACTATTCTTTTCACAAAGGAGCAGCACCAGAATAGTCCTTAATATTGGAGATAGCTATTGTGTCACTTCCTCATGCTGACATATTTACTAGAGGGTAAAGTTAATAACCTTCTAGTAAGAGTGGCAGTCGAAGGGAAGGGCTCATCTGACTTCTGGAATCCTGTGTTAAAATAGAGTGCTTTGAACCTTGATCATGGGATAATTAGATTGGAAATGAAACTAGAGGACCAGATACACCCAAGGAAGCTTTTGGTAGTTACCATACTTTGTAAGTCACAGGAAATGCTTGTGTACTTTCCTGTGTTTCTTAAACAGTTGCAGTTAAATTACCTTTTTGAAATTGAATGAAGAGACAGAAGGTAGTTGTTTTCTTTCCAGAAATAGTACTTGTTTATAACTCTAATAGCAAAGTATTTTTTTGTTTGTTTTGAGACAGCCTTCTTGCTCTGTTGCCCAGGCTTGAGTACAGTGGCAGGATCTTGGCTCACTGGAACCTCCAGTGAGGAACCTCCTGGGTTCAAGTGACTCTCCTGTCTCAGCCTCCCAAGTAGCTGGGACTATAGGTGGACCACCACACCTGGCTAATTTTTGTATTTTTAGTAGAGACAGGGTTTCGCCATTTTGGCCAGACTGGTTTTGAACTCCTGAGCTCAGGTGATCCACCTGCCTTGGCCTCCCAAAGTGCTGGAATTAAAGGCGTGAGCCACCATTCCTGGCCAGCAGTGAAACTTGAGGCTAATAAGATTGAAGGATTGTTTTAATAGTATAGACTATAAGGCGAGGAGGGTTAAAAAAAAGAAAACAGAAAGAGGCCCTCAAAGCACAGAATAATATGATCAACAGATACTAGTGTATCACATTTGAAATGCTTTATGTTTTGGCTTTATGTTGATAAGTTGAAAACCCGTTTTTTCGTTTGTTGTTTGGTTTTTGCTTTGGCTATCTCATGTAAAAAGGCATGTAAGGGATGGCATTGATTATTCTAAATCATTTTTACTGGGAAAGCTTTTCCAAGATTTTGAATAGCTAAATGTCAACTTTTTTCTTAATAGTATTTTCGTCTCAGCCTAGTGATGATGAATCAAGTAGTGATGAAACCAGTAATCAGCCCAGTCCTGCTTTTAGACGACGCCGTGCTAGGAGGAAGACTGTTTCTACTTCAGAATCTGAAGAACGGCCACTTGCTGAACAAGAAACCGAACCTTCTAAGGAGTTGAGTAAACATCAGTTCAGTAGTGGTCTCAATAAGTGTGTTATACTTGCTTTGGTGATTGCAATCAGCATGGGATTTGGACATTTCTATGGTAAGTATTTGAAAATGTGTTATACATAACCTGATGCGATAGTGTAGAGGCACTTAAGAGTGAGGAATCCTGGGCAGGGTGTGGTGGCTCACACCTGTAATCCCAGTACTTTGGGAGGCTGAGACCGGCAAATCACTTGAGTGAGTTAAGAGTTTGAGACCAGCCTGGCCAACCCTGTCTCTACTAAAAATACAAAAATTAGCCTGGTGTGGTGGTGCACGCCTGTAATCCCAGCTACTCTGGAGGCTCAGGTAGGAGAATTGCTTGAACCTGGGAGGTAGAGGTTGCAGTGAGCTGAGATCGCAACGTTACACTCCAGCCTGGGCAACAGAGCGAGACTGTCTCAAAAAAAAAAAAAAAAAAAAAAAGTCGGGTGCGGGGGTGAATCCTGGGATCTGTTTTCAGTGCCATTATTAAATATATGGCCTTGAAAACTTGAAGCCTCTTTGAGCCTCAGTTTTCCCATTCTAGAAGTGGGTGCTGCCTATCACAAAACTTTTTATTTAAATAAGGTAGTAGTGGCGGGGTACAGTGAATCACACCTGTAATCCCAGCACTTTCAGAGGCCAAGGTGGGTGGATCACCTGACCAACCTGACCAATTTGGAGAAACCTCGTCTCTACTAAAAAAAAATACAAAAATTAGCCGGGCATGGCCTGTGGTCCCAGCTACTAGGGAGGCTGAGGCGGAAGAATCGCTTGAACCCGGGAGGCAGAGGTTGCAGTGCCAAGATTGTGCCACTGCACTCCAGCCTGGCGACAGAGCAAGACTCCATCTCAAAAAAAAAAAAAAAGGGTAGTAGTTATTAACAAATGTAAGGATAATAACCACATATGTTAGTGACTTTTTTAAAAGTTAAAGGATTAGAAGATTAAAAATCTGAAATGCTCAGCTTGAGGCAAATCATTTATATTTAGAATCATAGTTAAACTAAGTTGAAGTGTGACTTTATTAAGGCAGAGTATTGAATTCCCATTTGAAATAGTTACATTTGAAATGTGGGAATAATTAGTGTTCATTATTTCTACTTTGAGGTTTCACATAAGTATCATACTTTGTAACATTCATTGTTGCTTCTGTGATTCACATGAATTGAGAGTTTTTCATCTTTATCCTTATACTTTGCTCTTTATTGTGGTTGATAGTGTTTATATATGTTGATTATCTTATCAATTCAAAGCCTTTAAATGCCTTTGGGTGAGAAGAGAAAGATATTTCATTGGTGTTACTGTCTCGTTTAGAAGCCTCACCATTGAATCTCCCCGACTTTCTTTTTTTTTTGAGATGGGGTTTTGCCTTGTTGCCCAGGCTGGAATGCAGTGGTGTGACCTTGGCACACTGCAACCTCTACCCCCAGGGTTCTAGCAGTTCTCCTCCCTCAGCCTCCTGAGTAGCTGGGATTACAGGCGCCTGCCACTACGCCCAGCTAATTTTTTTTGTATTTGTAATAGAGATGGGGTTTCCAAGGTGTTGGAATTACAGGTGTGATCCACTGAGCTCACTTACTTATTCTTTATTTATGTAATAAGAATTTTTTTTCCTTTTTCTTTTTTTTCTTTAAGATGGAGTTTCACTCTTGTTGCCCAGGCTGGGGTGCAATGGTATGATCTCAGCTCACTGCAGCCTCCACCTCCAGGTTCGAGCAGTTCTCCTGCCTCAGCCTCCCCAGTAGCTGGAATTACAGGCATGCACTACCATGCCCAGATAATTTTTTGTATTTTTGGTAGAGACAAGGTTTCACCATGTTGGCCAGGCTGGTCTGGAACTCTTGACCTTAGGTGATCCATCCACCTCAGCCTCCAAAGTACTGGGATTACAGGTGTGAGCCACTGTGCCTGGCCTAAGAATTTTTAAAGCACTGTGAAATGCTGATACCTTGAATAAAATGATTGTCAAGATTACACAGGTTATGGCCAGGCACAGTGGCTCACACATGTAATCCTAGCACTTTGAGAAGCCGAGGTGGGCGGATCACTTGAGGCCAGGAGTTCGAGACCAACCTGGCCAACCTAGTAAAACCCAGTCTCTGCAAAATTTAGCCAGGCGTGGTGGTACTTGCCTGTAGTCCCAGCTAGTTGTGAAGCTGAGGCATGAGAATCGCTTGAATGCGGGAGGCAGAGGTTGCAATGAGCTGAGATCACACCCATCTGGGTGACAGACTGAGACTCTGTCTCAAAAAGAAAAAAAAAGATTACATAGGTTATATGCAGATTACCAAAATTTAAAAATATATAAAACATTTAATCATAATATTTATGTTACATATCCTTAATAAAAATCTTTATTTTAGGCACAATTCAGATTCAGAAGCGTCAACAATTAGTCAGAAAGATACATGAAGATGAACTGCATGATATGAAGGATTATCTTTCCCAGTGTCAACAGGAACAAGAACCTTTCATAGATTATAAGGTATGTACCACTAAAAAATATTTAAAATAATTGTTAGTAATTATTGTGCATATTAGTTAGTGCTTATTGTGCTTAATAGTGCAGATGAGTAAATCAGTAATAATGCTGATCATTGAATTGAGTACAGGTGCTTACTGTGTCCTAGTCATTGTCATGAGTGCACCATATAGAGTATTTCTCTTACTCTTACAACGTGGGATTAAGCAAGTATTAACTTTTATAGGTAGGAAGAGGTTTAGAAAGGTTAAGTGACTTTCCCAAGGTAGCAACTGGCAGAGCTAATTTGTTTTTTGTTTGTTTGTTTATTGGATATGGAGTCTCGCTCTGTTGCCCAGGCTGGAGTGCAGTGGCGCAACCTCGGCTTACTGCAACTTTCACCTCCTGGGTTCAAGTGATTCTTGTGCCTCAGCCTCCCAAGTAGTTGGGATTACAGGTGATCCAATTTTTTTGTATTTTTAGTAGAGACGTTCACCATGTTGGCCAGTCTGGTCTCTAACTCCTGACTTTGAACTCCTGAACCCAGGAGGTGGAGGTTGCAGTGAGCCAAGATCACGCCTCTGCACTCTAGCCTGGGCGACAGAGCGAGACTCCATCTCAAAAAAAAATATTCTTCTGCCCTGCTGTTGTTCTCAATTTGTTGTAGCTCTCTGCTTTGTGTTTTCTTGCATATGAACCTTGTATTTCCCAATGTTTATACTATTGAAAATACACCTTAGCCTTCTAAAGTGCTGGAATTACAAGTGTGAGCCACCACACCCGGCCCTGGCCTTTTGTTTTGTTTCATTTTGTTTGGCAGAGCTAATTTGATTTCAAGGATTTGACTTAAGAACTTTTATTTCTAGCTGCTGTTTTATAGTTAACATCATTTAAAATTGACATTTTATATGTGGATATAGACATTTTTGTTAACATTATTTTTACAGAGGGAAGCAGGCATTTTCAGTTGGCAGGACGGAAAGAGGAGAGTTGCGGGTTTTTTTTTTTTTTTTTTGAGACAGAGTCTTGCTCTTTCACCCAGGCTGAGTGCAATTGCACGATCTCGGCTCACTGCAACCTCTGCCTCCTGGGTTCAAGCGAATCTTCTGCCTCAGCCTCCTGAGTACTTGGGACTACAGGCGCATGGCATCACACTAGGTTAATTTTTGTATTTTCAGTAGAGATGGGGTTTCACCATGTTGGCCAGGCTGGTCTCTAACTCCTGACCTCAGGTGATCCACCCACCTCAGTCCCCCAAAGTGCTGGGATTACAGGCATCAACTACTGTACCCGGCGAGTTGTGGGTTTTTTTTTTTTTGAGAGGGAGTCTCACTGTTGTCAACAGGCTGGAGTGCAGCCTCCTGAGTAGCTGAGACTACAGGTGCCTGCCACCATGCTGGCTAATTTTTTGTATTTTAGTAGAAACGAGGTTTCGTGATGTTGGCCAGGATGGTCTCAATTGTCCTAACCTTGTCATCCACCTGCCTTGGCCTCCCAAAGTGCTGGGATTACAGGTGTGAGCCACCACACCCAGTCTTGAGAGTTGTGGTTTTATAGCCTCTCTAAGATCTTCTTTTGATTAGGGACATAGCCGTTCCCTTTCATTGTTTTTTTTATTCTGATGGAAGGGAAAACATGCTTTTTTCTGTCTATAACTCACCTAGATCTCATCTCACAGGACAGTACTGTCCATTCTGTTGTTATCCAACACATTTGTGGGTTTATGAGGATCAGCTAAATAGTTGGTCCCCTGTCTACTTTTTTCCTAGGAATGGTGTAGAGATAAACTCAGGGTAGAAAAGTAAGCTGTGTCTGGGTGAGGTGGTGGCCTTCCAAATTTCCAAAGGTGGTGACTTTGGGAGACCAAGGTAGGTGGATTGCTTGAGGCCAGGAGTTCAACACCAGCCTGGCCAACACAGTGAAACCTTGTCTCTACTAAAAATACAAAAATTAGCCAACTGTGGTGGTGCACACCTATAATCCCAGCTTCTCAGGAGGCTTAGGCACAAGATTCCTTGAACCTCAGAGATAGAGGTTTGCAGTGAACTGATTATCACACTGTTGTACTCCAGCCTGGGCCACAGAGAAAGACTGACTCTTCCTTTCTCCCCCTTCCCCCTTCTTCCCCCTTTCCCCTCCCCACTCCCCCCTTCCCCCTTCCCCTCTCTCACCCAGCACCCCACCAACTCTATCTCAAAAAAAAGGAAAGAAAAGTAAGCTATTTTTTCCACCCCCAAATCTCACACTTAATTTATGTAGCCTTCCCTTACAGGTTATTTTTCTTGAAAAGACAAAAATAATACTTTGTAACTAAACTGTATCTTTCAGGGAGGTACTTTTCCCATCCAGGTGTTAACCAGACCTGACCCTGCTTAGCTTCTGTGTTCAGAGGATATTGGGCGCATTCAGGGTGGTTTGGCTGTAGACACAGGGAAGTACTTCCCAAGTTAATTACAAATAGTGCAGTTTTTCCTACCTATATTAGAATATGCCATTTTCTTCTTCACCACAATGGTTTCTGGCTCCATAGGATAACACTGACTTTTGGAAGACTCACCATACATAAATCTTTACAAAGAGTTTGTATTTCAGGTTTGGGTTTAGGTTTGTTTTTTTTTTTTAGATGGATTCTCACTTTGTCGCCCAGGCTAGAGTGCATGGGGGGTGATCTTAGCTCACTGCAACCTCTGGCTCCTGGGTTCAAGCAATTCTTCTGCCTCAGCCTCCCAAGTAGCTTGGATTACAGGCTCCCTCCACCATTCTCAGCTAATTTTTTTGTATTTTTAGTAGAGATGGGGTTTCACCGTGTTGGCCAGGCTAGTCTCGAACTCCTGACCTCAGGTGATCTACTTGTCTTGGCCTCCCATAGTGCTGGAATTACAGGCGTGAGCCACTGCGCCTGGCCCTTTTGTTTTGTTTTGTTTTCTTTTGTTTTAAGGAGGTCCCATTCTTGTTGTCCAGGCCGGAGTGCAGTGGTGTAATCATGGCTCACTGCTGCAACTTCCTGGGCTGAAGCAATCCCTCTTGCTTAGCCTTTCAAGTAGCTGGGACCACAGGCTACCATGTCCAGCTAACTTTGTTTTTAAATTTTTCATAGAGATGGGGTCTCGCTATGTTGCCCAGGTTTTTCTGGAACTTCTGGGTTCAAGTGATCCTCCTGCCTTGGCCTCAAAGTGTTGGGATTATAAAGGTTTAAGCCACTGTGCTTGGTTAGAGAGTCAGTTTTTGCAGATGTCTTGTTTCTAGCTGTTAAGTATGGATCAGATAGATATTGAAGCTCTTTGGAAGACCTGGTCAGGATCTGCTTATCAGTCACTTCTGTCAACATCATATTTACTACATGAGGAAGGCTGTACTCTTTCATTCTGTGGCTGCCTTTGCTTCTGCTTTTCAAGATTATGGTACAGCAGTGCATCAGTCTCTTCTGCTCCACAGTCCACTCCTGTTGGGTAGAAGAAACTTCTCTCATACAGGTAGAGCAGATGTAATGACTGTGATTAAATTTTAAATCTTTATTTGTTCTCTGAAGATTAATGAGCTAGAAAGTGAAGCAATCATTTTAGAGAGTTATTGAAGTATAAAATAGTGTCATTCTCTTAAAGGACTTGTTCCCCCCACTTCTTTTTTTTTTTTTGGCTTGTTTCTGAATCCAGGTAATTAGCTGGTCTTACTCAAATGGGGTAACCACAACATGTGTGGTCAGTTACACCTAATTTAAGTATCATTTTGCAGATTTATACATAAGATATTTTTAACTGAATGGATAATGCTGTAAGAACTTGTTGAAGCATATTGTTTAATGTTTGACTGTTTTTGGTTAAAATTTGTTACTTATGCATATGTTTGAAAGAAATTTCAAATCAATCAAGGACTGATTTACCCTTACTGAAGCAGAAAAATTCTATAAGCCTAATTGACAACCATTTCTCTCTTTCAGAGTCATAGCAATCTGTAGATTAATCTTCAGAGTTGTATTAATCTGTACAGATTACAGAACTGCTGTAATCTGAGTAACAGTCACTTTGAAAGTTTACATATAATTGGATAAGTTATAAATGTTACTAAGATTCAGTGTGTCCTCTAATATGCTTATAGAATTTATGGCTTATCTGTACTTACCTAGCAATGTTAATTGCATAGGACTAAAATTTTCAAATAGGACTAAGATTATTAGAATTTCTTCTTTCGAAGGGTACTGTGAGTACAAACAATCTTTTGAAGCCATAAGTCAGCTCTTGATGTAATTTTACTTTTTATAAAAATAACCTCTCTTCCTAAGATTCAGAAAAGCCTTTAGTCCTGTTAGCCCTAGCTAACTTTCTGACTTTTAAATTCTTCCAGCTGGGCATGGTGGCAGGTGCCTTAATCCCTGCTATTGGGGGGTGCTGAGGCAGGAGAATTGTTTGAACCTGGGAGGGAGAGGTTGTAGTGAGCCGAGATCGTGCCACTGCAGTCTGGCAATAGAGTGAGACTCCATCTCAAAAAATAAAATAAAAAATAAATTCTTCTACCATGCTATTGTTCTCAATTTGATGTAGCTGTCTGCTCTGAGTTTTCTTGCATGTGAACCTTGTATTTCCCAATGTTTACACTATTGCACATTCTACCCGGGGTATAGTATCTGTAGAAGTAAAGACACAAAAGCTTATGGGGTGTTATATATCTTAAAGACTTAAATTCAACTTTTAAAGCACTTGAAATGTTATTTCTTCTCTTTCAAAAAAATGTAGTCATTGAAAGAAAACCTTGCAAGGTGTTGGACACTTACGGAAGCAGAGAAGATGTCCTTTGAAACTCAGAAAACTAACCTTGCTACAGAAAATCAGTATTTAAGAATATCTCTGGAGAAGGAAGAAAAGGCCTTGTCTTCATTACAGGAAGAGTTAAACAAACTAAGAGAACAGATTAGAATACTGGAAGATAAAGGGACAAGTACTGAATTAGTTAAAGAAAATCAGAAACTTAAGCAGCATTTGGAAGAAGAAAAGCAGAAAAAATACAGCTTTCTTAGTCAAAGAGAGACTCTGTTGGCAGAAGCAAAGATGCTAAAGAGAGAACTGGAGAGAGAACGACTATTAACTACAGCTTTAAGGGGGGAACTCCATCAGCTAAGTGGTATTCAGTTACATGGCAAGTCAGATTCTCCCAATGTATTTACTGAAGAAAAGGAAATGGCAGTCTTACGGGAAAGACTCACTGAGCTGGAACGGAAGCTAACCTTCGAACAGCAGCGTTCTGATTTGTGGGAAAGATTGTATGTTGAGGCAAAAGATCAAAATGGAAAACAAGAAACTGATGGAAAAAAGAAAGGGAGCAGAGGAAACCACAGGGCTAAAAATAAGTCAAAGGACACATTTTTGGGTTCAGTTAAGGATACATTTGATGCCATGAAGAATTCTACCAAGGAGTTTGTGCGGCATCATAAAGAGAAAATTAAGCAGGCTAAAGAAGCTGTGAAGGAAAATCTGAAAAAATTCTCAGATTCAGTTAAATCTACTTTCAGACATTTTAAAGATACCACCAAGAACATCTTCGATGAAAAGGGTAATAAAAGATTTGGTGCTACAAAAGAAGCATCCGAAAAACCGAGAACAGTTTTTAGTGACTATTTACATCCACAGTATAAGGCACCTACAGAAAACCAGAATAATAGAGGTCCTACTGTGCAGAATGATGGAAGGAAAGAAAAGCCAGTTCACTTTGAAGAATTCAGAAAAAATACAAATGCACAGAAATGCAGTCATGGGCATGATTGTAGAGACAATTCTCATTCTTTCAGAAAGGCTTGTTCTGGTGTATTTGATTGTGCTCGACAAGAATCCATGGGCCTTTTTAACACAGTGGTGAATCCTATAAGGATAGATGAATTTAGACAGATAATTCAAAGGTACATGTTAAAAGAACTGGATACTTTTTATCACTGGCAAGAATTTGATCAGTTCATCAGTAAGTTTTTCCCAAATGGTGTCTTTCTACATGATCAGAAGCTCTTCACTGACTTTGTCAATGATGTTAAAGATTATCTTAGAAACATGAAGGAATATCAAGTAGATAATGATGGAGTATTTGAGAAGTTGGATGAATATGTATATAGACACTTCTTTGGTCACACTTTTTCCCCTCCATATGGACCCAGGTCGGTTTACATAAAACCATGTCATTACAGTAGTTTGTAACATTTGTAGATTGGATAGCATTTTTATGATTTGATGAGTTTCTTGGAAGGTTACTGTTTCTAAGAGTCTTGCTTTATTGCCACTGAGAGAATTCAAAGTCAATTGAAAGATAGAGTCTAAAAATTATAGCTGTTATAAATGGAAAATTTCATTATAACGTAATCACTTTGACCTGACCAAATGATTTAATTTTTATCTTAAAAAATCCGTTAAGAATATATAGAATCCTATTTTGGCCAAGTTTGTTTCTTTTCAGTATAGTTTATATGAGAAGATCGCCTTAGGTGAAATTATTTTCCTTTAATCTTTTGTGTATTTATCCACTTTCGGAAGCTAGGAGTGAACAATACAAATTTTACTCTGAAGTCAGAAGAGCTCATATGTAATAATTCTAATGTCCTAACTATTTTCACTTGTCCATTCCATGTACCAGCTTAGTTATGATACTTAATACTTAATCACATAATTATCCTTGATAAAGGTAGAGGCACAAAGATGCAAAGTGAGCAAGTCAGATTCTAATGTGTGTACCAATTTTTTATCCATTTTCATCTTTATATTCTGTAACATGAAACTTACCTGATCTTCAAATGTTAGTTTCACTTTTTATCTTTGAAATACTTACCTTTCTGAATAAATATAATGTGTCTATAAAATAATGAGACTGATTCTGGTGTCTTTAGTTGTAAAGCAGGTATCTAGTCATATAATGAACAAAGGTGAGGCTGCCTTGAGGAGACAAGTGAAAAATTTTTGCTTTAAAGGAGCTCACAAGCTAAGTAAATAAATAAAATTAAGGTGTGGGGGTATGGTGGCCTCAGACTGTCTGGAGATGTTTGGAAAGGCTTCTTGAGTGAGATGGCCTTTGAACTGTGAACTAGTTTTTAAACTGTGAACTAGTTTTTAAACTAGCTTTTGCAAGAGAAATGATAATTTACTATGCAGACAGGGAAGGGGATTTTACTTAGAAGGAAGGTCATTTGGAGATGTGAAGATACACTACTTTAAGGAAGCAGGGTAGTGCTGGAGGATAAGAGATGCAGACCATGAAGGGCCCCATTTTATGCTAAAGGTTTTGTCCTGTAGGACATGGAGAACCTCTGAAGAAATTTCAAGGCTGGTAGGATAAGATTATATTGTATTGTAGATTACAGTAGTCCCCCTTTATCTTCAGGATATTTGTTCCAAGAGCCCCAGTGGATACTTGAAACCAGGGATAGAACAGAATTCTATGTATAATATGCATGAATTTCTTTTTCCTTCTTTACGATCTCACACATAGCTTTGTTCTTACCATAGATCTTACCAACCTCAGCATACTTTTGTCTTCCTTATTGAGAACGTTCACCCTTTAACTTAAAGGAAGCACTTTATAGCTTCTCTTTGGCATATCCAGATTGCCAGCATCACTATTGTATTTTGGAATCATTATTAAGTTTCTTAATCATAATTATCCTTATCTTAGGGATACTTGAACACAAGCACTGTGGAACGATAACAGTGTATTTGATCAACAGACTGCTACTAGATGATTAAGAGGTGGGTAGCGTGGATACTGGACAATGGGATGACTCACATCCCATGTGGGATGGAACAGAACTGCCTTATTTCATCACATTACTCAGAACAGGCATATAACTTAAAACTTATGCATTATTTCTTTTTTTATTTTTATTTTTTGAGATGGAGTCTTGCTTTGTCATCCAGGCTGGAGTGCAGTGGCGCAATCTCAGCTCACTGCAACCTCTCTCTCCCAGTTTCAAGTGATTCTCCTGCCTCAGCCTCCTGAGCAGCTGGGACTACAGGTGTGAGCCACCACATCTGGCTAATTTTTATATTTTTAGTAGCGATGGGGTTTCACCATGTTGGCCAGGCTGGTCTCTAACTCCTAACCTCAAGTGATCCGCCCATCTCAGCCTCCGAAAGTGCTCCGAAATAATGCATAAGTTTTAAGTTATATGCCAGGAGTGAGACACTGCCCGTCGCCTAAAACTTAAGAATTATTTATGAAATTTTCTATTAACATTTTCAGACCACAGGTGACTACAGGTGACTGAAACCTGCATCCCAGAAAGTGAAGCTGTGGATAAGGCGGGACTACTGTATTGACAGCAGCTTACAGGATTGACAAGAAAGGTGTGAAGCTAGAAGGTGGTCAGTATATTACAGATGTAAGCTGTTTAGATGAGCATCTAAACTGGGACAATAGTAGGGGAGGAAAGGAGAAAACATTTTGAGAATAGATAGTAACATTGGTATTTCTTGTGAAAGACAAGTAGAAGGTCACGGTGACTTCTAGATTTCTGAGTTGGGTCATCTGTTGGATAGTAGTATCACTGTGATAGGGAATTCCAGGTTTGGGGTAAGGGTAATTGGAGATGAGAATTGTATTTGGAAGTAACTACTGACATTCAAGTGGGGAGGGATAGTTGGCAGTTAGTGCTATGGTCATCTCTTTTGCTGAGCCTGTATATTTATTAGACTCCTAGGAGAATACCAACATCTATGAGGTTGTAGGGAAGGCTAGTGATGAAAATCTAAAGGCTATCTCAAGTAAAAGGAATATTTAAATGTGTCATGTTTTTAAAAAGTCGATGTGTGAAAAATGTTTCTTGGCTTGGAAATTGGGCAGTCGGGATGGCAATATGGACTTCCAGTGAAGTAGTGACAGAAGCCTGATCGTAGACATTGAGGAAAGCGGGTGTAGGTCTTGTGAACTTTTGCCGTAAGGGAGAAAAAGTTGAGACTTTTGTTTTGGTTTGTGAGACATGTGTTTGCATTTCTGCTGAGTGATAAAGCCAATGGGGAGGGATTGATTTCTACAGGAAAGGAAAAAAATAATAATAATGGAAACATCTCATTATTTTATTGTCACATTTCTTTTCTTTGTTATCTGTTGAATGTTTCCCTTTTTTGCCAGTAGAGTTACTATTTTCTTCTTTGTATAGGACAAAAACTATAATATGGACTCCTTTATTTTTATACAGATATACTAAGATTATAATTCAGATATTTAATCTTTTTTCATAGTGTTCAGATAATAGATTAATGGAGAATAACAGTTAAAATTGTTTTCAATTTAAATACATTGAACTCTAACATAGATGAAAAATGTGTTTACTGCTTTCAGTCGACCTGATAAAAAGCAACGTATGGTAAATATTGAAAACTCCAGGCATCGAAAACAAGAGCAGAAGCACCTTCAGCCACAGCCTTATAAAAGGGAAGGTAAATGGCATAAATATGGTCGCACTAATGGAAGACAAATGGCAAATCTCAAAATAGAATTGGGTCAATTACCTTTTGATCCTAAATACTGATTCACAATTGAGTTAAGCTAGACAACTATAAGAGAAACATGTATGCTTTGTACAATGTTTGGTATTGGAACTAACGAAATTATCAAGATGACAATGTCTTTTTTTTTTTGTTTCTAAGTCTCAGTTTGATAACTTTATATTGTTACTAAGAAGCATTAGTTAAAAGCCTACTAACCTGCATTTTCCTGTAGTTTAGCTTTGTTGAATTCTTTTTGACACTGGAAATGTTCAACAGTCATTTTACTAAGGAAGCCAGGCATGCAACAGATTTTGTGCATGAAATGAGACTTCCTTTCAGTGTAAGAGTTTAAAGCAAGCTCAAATCATACATGACAAAGTGTAATTAACACTGATGTTTGTGTGTTAAATTTGCAGTAGAGCTTGAGAAAAGTACATTGTGCTGGAATTTCATCTTTAACAGTTTATAATCTTACACTTGCTTCTTGTCTTTATGTGGGTTCACGAGCCCACTGACTTGTGAAGAATTTACTGCCCTCTTAAGAGCTTGCTGACTTGTTTTGTGAAATTTTTTGAACATCTGAATATTGTGGAAGAAACAATAAAACTACACCATGAGGAAAACTGAAGGTCTTTATTTAAAATCTGGCATTGTATTAACATGTGATTTTCTACTACGTGGTATTTTATAAATTTCCTCAGTAGTGATATTTGGTAAAGCAGTTCATACAGTTTTTCCTAAGTTCCATAAATCTTACCCAGTGTTTATTGAAATATTTAAGCAGCATCTGAGTATTTCCACCCAGCAATGTTAGTTTATCTCAGAAAGTTCAGAATGTCATCTTGTTGAATTTCCCTTTTAACTTCCGTTCATAGACATATACATGACTTCCAATTCGACCCTCCGGCAAGTGAGTGTGGAAGAAAACAGCAGTTCTGTTATAACTGCTTGTTGTTAGGAAAGTACTTATTTCCTAGAAGCAAATAAATGTTTAAATAAATAAAGGCTACGTTTTGCTGAATACTGTTTCAATGAATTTTAGCATTGCTTATTTGAATTGCTCTCTACAACTTTATGCTTAATAAAAGAATTAACTTACATGAAGTAAAATACCTTACAATTATAGAACTGGGGCTTATTTTGACTGGACAAAAGACTCATCATGAAATGTGGGATGAAACAGACCATAAGAAAAGGTTATTGTGAATTTACCTGAGGGTTTCCTAAACCTGGGGTAAAATAAAAATACTGAGTTTTCTTCTTTTTCATGTTTACTTACCTTCTCCAGAATGCTGAAGATGATCAAGTGAGTAGGTAATGATGCATCTTCATGAAACTCTCTTTGTAACCAGTTTAAGGGATTTAGGTAAAATATATCTGCTTCATCAAGATACTGACTTTTTCCAGTCAGGTCTGGGGGACATTGGAGAAATCTCATTGGAAGTGGGCAGTGAACATGGCTATGAAAAGAAAAGTTACCAGAATAAACACAAGTAAAAACTGAAAGTTTTCATTAGTCTTAAGATACGTCATTTATACTTAGCAAAATGTGAAATCGGAATCTGTAACTGTTGCAGTTAAGTGAAGAAGCAAGCCTTTAACTCATTTTCCCAAAGATAAAATATGTGATTCTCATACCATGTAAACTGTGCAGCAGCAGCAGCAGCAGCATAACCTGTAAGCCCAAACTAATGCGTAAAACTCCATTTCAAGGAGGGAAGTAGGTCAGTTGGGGGATGCAACATTCTGTAACATTCATATTCTGTTCTCGAAACGTAAATGGTCTTCAGGACCAGGTAAGTTAACTTGTTAATAAGAGAGTAATTCTCCATAGGCTTTTTTGGTAAAGTAGGAAACTGTGGTCCTAACCAGAAAGGAGTCTTTCTTCCCTTTCTGCTCTAATAGGGGATGGATCACATCTTTACATGGTGAGTTTTAAGTATTTTTTTTCCTTTATATCTTTAAGATTTAGAAGTAGAGAGCAACATATGTCCATTGATTAACATCCAAATAAGTAACGGTTTTATTGTGGCATAGAAAGACTAGACTGCCCACCAGGGGCAGTGGCTCGTGCCTGTAATCCCAGAACTTTGAGAGGCCAAGGTGGATAGATCCCCAGAGGTCAGGACTTCGAGACCAGTCTGGCCAACATGGTGAAACCCTGTCTCTACTAAAAATACAAAAATTAGCCAGGCATGGTGGTGTGTGCCTCTAGTCCCAGCTACTCAGGAGGCTGAGGCAGGAGAATTTCTTGAACCCAGAAGACGGAGGTTGCAATGAGCACTGAGATCACATGCCACTGCATTCCAGCCTGGGCGACAGAGCAAGACTCTGTTTCAAAAAAAAAAAAAAAAAATTAGAGTATATAAAAGATGGATTCATTTCAATACTAGTCATGACAACTTAAGCCAGTTACTTAGGTCATGCAAAAAGTCACGTTTATAATGCCTTGGGAAAAGTTAAACCTCACTGATAGAAACACTTAAAATTTCCAATTAGAAATGAAGTTAATAGTTATGCAGGAGGTTTATTTATGAAGTGCATACAAATTAAATGTACATAAGACCTAATAGGGACTTATTTATTAGAAGTGAAGGTCTTATTTCAAAGGGAAGTAGAAATTCTGAGAAAAAAAACTGCTTGCTTTATACTGTAAAATAGGCATCAGAGTTTTTCCTCTATTTGTGTGCTTTGAAAAGGTGTTGAGAACTTGGTGAACTATACAAAGCCTAAGACATCAACTAACTACAACTATGTATAAAGAACATCTTGGTACCTCTAGGATTCCTGTCCTCCACAGTATTACCCCTAATGTGAGCACGGAGAGTGAATGTCCCTTTCTCAGACATATAAATATATATACTAGGGAATCCTCAAGTTGAGAGGATACTTGATGGCTTCCACTTAGACTGTTTTTTGCTAGGATCTCAGTTTTTCTAAATTGTATATTAATGATTGGCATTCATGATCAGTTAAGTAGGAGTATTCCAGGTGTTAAATTCCCCTAAAGTGGTAACCACAGTGATTAAATTAATTGAATGTGCATATGAGACATTAACTCCAAATCATTTAAAGCCAGACTGAGTTAAATAGATAGAGGATTTTCGTTTTTTCTTTTTCTTCTTGCTCTGTTACCCAGGCCAGAGTGCAGTGGTACATTCTCAGCTTACTGCAACCTCCACCTCCTGGGTTCAAGTGATTCTCCTGCCTCAACCTCCCTAGTAGCTGGGACTATAGGAACACACCCTAACACCCAGCTAATTTTTTTGTATTTTAGTAGAGATGGGGTTTCACTATGTTGCCCAGGCTAGCCTCAAATTCCTGAACTTAGGCGCTCCGCCTGCCTCAGCCTCCCAAAGTGCTAGGATTACAGGCACGAGCCACTGCGTTCAGCCTGATATAGAATTTTCTATAGGACATCTGGCTGCTTTGCCCCTGTACCATTACTGGGTAATTGGTAACCCAGCTTTATGAGATACAAGCACAGGACCAAATGGATGTCTTTTTAAATGCCATACATAGTTGAGGCAATTTTAGTATATTTTCCAGAAACACTTAATTCAAGCTTTAGAATATCTTGTCACATTCCTTAAATTTTACAGGTGAGACAACTGATGTCCAAAGAGATTAAAAATCTAGTTTAAAAGGAGGGCAGTAGTCCAGTAGTAAATCTAGATTGAAATCCATGTTTTAAGATTAATTCAAATTGTGTAAAGATGTGTCACGGAGATGTGTAGTAAGGTAAGTCATACATGAGTTTCTTTACTAGGAAGACTATCAAATACCTACAGATTGTTTTAAATCAGAATTAAGTGTAAGTAGATTGTTTTTAAAGCATAATAAAGTTTATTTAAAAGATTTTCATTGATACAGTTCAAGTGGTTTTTAAAATCCACCAGTGAATAAATATGAGAGTTTAAAATTTATCTTTTGATCAACAACCAATTAATTCAAATCTAGGAATCTGAAAGGGAATTTTAAGGTAGTCAGTTTCAGTTTCTTAACAGCATATAGTGGAACATCCTTTATTACCTGTAATAAGGAGTAGAGTGGCAAGGCATCATTACAAATACTGACGCTGAAGGTTTATTGGGATTGTTGTAACAAACTTTTTGAATATGACTCATGACATCAAGAGTACCTCGTTGATGAACTAAACCAGTATAAAGGGCGAGGAACAAATTTGATAAAAACAGGAAACTTAGAGCTGGTTTCTTCCATGTTTTCAGGTGGGTTAGTGAGTAGCCTATATGAAGACAGACATATTGAACCTTAACACTGACAGCCTTTTGTTTTCTTATGTTAACTGCAAATACATCTGTAATTTTTAATGGAAATAGCACAAACTGTAATATTATAATAGACAAATAAGGAATAAGCAATAATTCATAATCTCTCTGAGCATTCACTACTGTTGCCATCTAGGTCTTGATTTTTCTAGTAAAAAGTATTGAGGTATAGTTGAAAGATCATAGTTATGGAGTCCAGCAGGTCCAGATCTGAATTCCAGTTCTAGCACAAGTTGTTTTACTTTGCTCATCATTGGAACACTTTTTTTTTTTTTTTTTTTTATTAGAAAAAATGTCCAGTGCCTGTCCTGGTACATAGTAGTTGCTAAATAAGTAGGACTTTTAATTATTCCATTTACCTACCTCTTTAATCTCCCTAACACTAGTAATTGGTATTTTCGTGTGTAATACAAGTTTCAATAATGTGTCCTCTTAGGAAGGCTTAGGAAAGGCTTAGGAAAATAAGCTGTTGGGCACCTGGGAGGTTTTCCTTAAGTATATGAGTGGAAGAAAAGTTGCTGTGTCTTTTTTTTTTTTTCCCACTAGAATGTCAGGCAATTTGGAGATACTAAACATTTTTCCTTTTTTGATTTATGAAAGTGATTATTCTGTGGGGCAAAACAAAACAAAAAACCAAAGGAGAAAACCAAGTGGAATGAATAGAAGGATCTAAAAAGATAAGTAAAAGTCTCTCTCCCCTCCTTTTCTCCAACAACAGCCACTGTTAATGGACACATTAGGATCTCTGAGAATACCAAGAACAGGCTTTGCCACTGGAAAAGAATGAGCTTATTAGTAAGTGTGACATTTTGTTCATAATTTACATATACTCTTTCTATAGAACTAGATAACAGTTCTTTTGGAACTTGGGTATTCTTCATCCAAACCTTGGTTTGCCTAAAATGTTAGTACTAATACCCAATGGGGTCAAGGCAGTGTTTTAACTTTAGTTCCTCCTCTGTGATGTTAGTAATCTCCAGAGTTCATACAATTCATGAGCTGGAATGTCACATATTCATGTCACCCAGTACTTGTTAAGCTACTTGAAACAGTTCTGATTGATCAAAGAATAATCTGAAAAGCTGTGTAATGAAGAATGTAGCAAGGTCAAGAAAACTAAGCCTATCACTTAAATCTACATTTATAAGATGTTTGAAATGGTAAAATGTGTAACCTACTAAAAGGGTTGAGAATTAGAATTAGCTTTATTTGAAATAAAATAGCTGAGATGGAGGATTACTTGAGGCCAGGAGTTCAAGACCAACCTGGGCAAAATAAATACTCCATCTCTACAAAAGATAGAGCAAAATTAGCCAGGCATGGTAGTGTGCACCTGTAGTTCCAGCTACTGGGAAGGTTGAGGCAGGAGGTTTACCTGTCCCCATGAGTTTGAGAGGACGGTGAGCTATGACTATGCCCGTGCACTCCAGCCTGGGTAACAGAGTGAAACCCTGTCTCTATGAAGATAAAAATAAAATAGGGCCAGGTGCGGTAGCTCACACCTCTAATCCCAGCAGTCTGGGAGGCTGAAGCGGGCGGATCACTTGAGGTCAGGAGCTCAAGACTAGCCTGGCAAACATGGTGAAACCCTATCTGTACTAAAAATACAAAAATTAGCTGGGTGTGGTGGCACACACCTGTAATCCCAGGAGGCTGAGGCAGGAGAATCACTTGAACACAGGAAACAGAGATTGCAGTAAGCCGAAATCACGCCACTGCACTCCAGCCTGGGCAACACAGCGAGACTGTCTCTAAATAAATAAATAAAAGAATAAAATTGGATTCTAAAAGTTCAACTATCTGTAATAACTCCAAGCACGGATACAGCAGATCCTCAAATATAAATTGAAGCACTTGGGTTGGGTAGGCTGAAACAAATCCACTTTAGTAGGTTCACAAAAAGCTACATTAAAGCCTTGTCTTTGTCTGTATTGCTGTAATGGAACACCTGAAGCTGGTAAAGAAAAGAAGTTGGGCTGGGCAAAGTGGCTCATGCCTATAATCCCAGCACTTTAGGGGGCTGAGATGGGCGGATCACCTGAGGTCCGGAGTTCAAGACCAGCCTGACCAACATGGAAAAACCCTGTCTACTAAAATTACAAAATTAGGTGTAGTGGCGCATGCTTGTAATCCCAGCTACTCCGAAGACTGAGGCAGGAGAATCGCTTGAACCCAAGAGGCGGAGGTTGCTGTGAGCCGAGATTGCACCATTGCCCTCCAGCCTGGGCAACAAGGGCAAAACTCTGTTTCAAAGAAAAAAAAAAAGTTTACTTGGCGCATGGTCCTGCAGGCTGTAGAATAAGCATGATACCAGCATCTGGTGAGGGCTTCAGGTTGCTTCCACTCATGGCGGAAGGTGAAGGGCAGCCAGTGTGTGCAGAGATCACATGGTGAGAGAGTAGAAACAAGACAGTGGGGGAAGGTGCCAGCCTCTTTTTTAACAGCCAGCAAACAGGGAAGCTCAGTACCCCAGGATGGTACCAAGCCATTCGTGAAGGATCCGCCCCTATAATTGAAGCAGCTCCCATTAGGCCCCACCGCCAACAATGGGGATCAAATTTCCACATAAGGTTTAGGAGACAAACATCCAAACTACAGCAAGTCCATCCTACAGCAAGGCCTTCGAAGATACAGCTTGTTCTCAATTATTTGAAGATACTTACAAGGTGAGCATATGTAAAGTAGATTTACTTATTAATAATTTGTTTAATAAATGTTAATCGAAAATTTTATTAGAAACTATGGGACTGGGCCAGGTGTGGTGGCTCATGCCTGTAATCCCAGCACTTTGGGAGGCTGAGGCGGTCAGATCACAAGGTCAAGAGGTCAAGACCATCCTGGCCAACATGGTGAAACCCTGTCTTTACTAAAAATACAAAAATTAGCTGGGCATGGTGGCGTGCACCTGTTGTCCCAGCTACTCCGGAAGCTGAGGCAGGAGAATTGCTTGAACCTGGGAGGCGGAGGTTGAGTGAGCCGAGATTGAGCCACTGCACTCCAGCCTGGCGACAGAGTGAGACTCTCAAAATAAACTATGGCACTAGGAATACAAGAGTATAGGTGGGTGACACAAAATGGGAATTCTTTGGCGATAAAGACTGAAAATAGTACTCTGGGTAGAATGCTGGAAGATAACATGCTTGTGTTTCCAGCATCTTTAGTACTGGTGAGACAGGGCATCTCTTAAATTAGGTAATGTTTGTCTTACATGACAGTGATTTTAACTCTGAGCTTAGCTCATTTTAGGATGGATCATTTGTAGTGAGAACTGAATCTCCATATTACTTAGAAAAGTAATATGAAGAAAATGCTGGGAAGAGAAGGGATAGCTGAATACTGCCAAGGAGAGTCAGGTGATAGCTTAGTTTTCTGGGGGACAGTGGATACTGTAACAGTTGGCATTATTTTTGAGTTGGAGTCTCGCTTGGTTGCCCAGTCTGGAGTACAGTGGCACGATCTTGGCTCACTGCAACCTCCACCTTTCGGGTTCAAGCGATTCTCCTGCCTCAGCCTCCTGGGTAGCTGGGATTACAGGTGCCTGCTGCCATGTGTGGCTAACTGTTTGTATTTTTAGTAGAGATGGGGTTTCACTCTGTTGGCCAGGCTGGTCTTGAACTCAAGTGATCTGCCCACTGCAGCCTCCCAAAGTGCTAGGATTATACACTTAAGCACAAAGCGCCCACCCAAAACTGCCTTTATTTATATAAATATTTAGTGTCCTATGAACATTACTAAGCATTTGACGTATAGAGATGAAGTCTTTATAATTTCAGTTACCAAATGACTTGTGCACATGTTAGAAAACAACCCGACTTTGGAGTATAAGTCAAGAGTCTTGAATTTCAAGCCTTTGAAGGGTATTTTTTTTTTAACCTTCTGGCATTGAAACCTTCCAAAGGGGATTTCAGAGATGAGTTGCTAAAGGAAGGATTGGGAAGATACTTTCCAGTTCCAATGCTAGAACTGAGTGAACCACAAGAGAAGCCTAAGGTCCATGGTTTTCTTATAGGCAAATAGTATTGCTTCATCAATATTTAAAAGATACAATGAACAAGATTCCAGTAGGTGACATCCAGTAAGTCTATTTAATGGCAGGCACAAGTTTGGAGATGCAGTTCTTACTGAAATAATCCCCTCAAGTGACCTAGCTTCAGAAAGTCATCATCCCCACCATGTAAATGATGTGTTACTTAAAATATGGTACTTCCCCAGTCACTGAAGATTTAAGACTTTGTATGAACCCCAGTGATTAAAGTGTAGATTCCTTCCTTTCACATAGTAACTGAACTCATTCCTAACTGGACGCTAAACATCCCTAAATACTTAATTTGCTCTTGTTGTCTTAGCCTACAAAAAGATACCTGAAAGTGGGTATAAAGAAAATTTCTGGAAGAACTGCCTAAGAAAGTGATAATAGTTACCTCTGGGGAATGGGGCTAGATGACTTGACGATGACACACTAATGTATTTATTTTTGTACCATCAGCATTTATTTTTATAATAAAAAAATACATTGGGCTCCTATCAGATCACGTTCATCAGATTACTGTTAAAGTGTGTTTAAAATCCATTATATCTCAGTTGACGACTATTCAGGAAAAAATCTAAAAACCTGAGTATACAAGAAGACACTTCATGAGGTGGCTCCCTTATAAAGCCATTTCTTTTAATCATCACATATTATTTAGCTCGATATATACACTTTTAAAATTTTGGATATCTAGTGTGGCACTCTATATTTTCCAGAAATGACTAATAAGCTCCTTCGTACCAAGGCAAGGTTCACAGTAATAGAGGGGATGGGAATATCTGAAGCTGAACATTACTGATTTCATCCTGGTTTTGGCAAGAATTATCAGGAAACCTACTGTTAAGAAAAAAATCCCTACCCCATTCTACCAATTAGGGATATATCTGAGTTATTGTTTTTATTTTTAGATACTCTTTGAGAAAGCTTAGTTTTGGTGTTCAGATGAGAACCACAAAAGGTGGTTCAATTCTGGAATGGGACATGATACAGAATGGGGCTGGGAAAGAGAGACTTTGAACTGTTAACAGTAATGAGGGTACTGGGCACAGATGAAGGTATCAGGAAGAATTTTTTTTTTTTTTTTTTGAGACCGAGTCTGGCTCTGTCACCCAGGCTGGAGTGCAGTGGTGTGATCTCAGTTCACTGCAACGTCTACCTCCTGGGTTCGAGTGGTTCTCCTGCCTCAGCTTCCTGAGTAGCTGGGATTATAGGTGCACACCACCACACCTGGCTAATTTTTGTATTTTTAGTAGAGCTGGGGTTTCACCATGTTGGCCAGACTGGTCTTGAACTCCTGACCTCGGCCTCCCAAAGTGCTGGGATTACAGGCGTGAGCCACCACACCTAGCCAGGAAGAATTTTATGTTGCTATTTTGTTAAGGAAGTAAAGCTATATTTTTATCTTCCATAGAATTCAGTAGTTAATACCTAAATAGTTTTAATGCCTACGTATTTAATGCCTAAAACTATTCAGGCATTAAGTGGTATTATAAGCATTTTAGAGATATTGAGATAAATACCAAAATAACCAGCTGAAAGAATATTTAAATAAGTGACTGCTTTTGGGGAGAGAAATAGAGGGAGAGCAGGGGAACCACTGTTTTCAAACACTCCTTCTGGAATGACTATTGAAATAATGTACATATGCAATTTCGATAAAAGGATTAGAATATGGAGCCAGGCACAGTGGCTCACGCCTGTAATCTCAGCACTTAGGGAGGCCAAGGCGGGTGGATCACTTGAGGTTAGGAGTTCAACCCCAGCC